ACTTAAGTTGTTATGGTTTATTGGACTCCGGTTCAGTGGTTAGTATTTTGGGCAAGAATGCACATAATGCCTTTGGTTCTCTAGGTTTCCCCTTGTTTATTGACTCAAAAATTTCTGTACATGCTGCTGGGGGTCAACAACTCAGATCTATAGGATATATGCTCTTACCTTTAAGTTTTCAAGGCCAGGAACATCTCATTAAATTACATGTCATTCCGGAAGTTGAGTCCTTTCTTATACTTGGCATGGATTTCTGGTGTAAATTCAATATCCTCCCTAAATACCTAAATAATGTAACCTGTTTCGCAGCTGGTGAAGCAGAGCTGTTTAATATTTCTGTCGAGTCTGCAGAGGTTTTCCTTCATTGCTATGAAAACCTAACTGAAACTGAAAGATGTATCGCGGATAGTGTTGTGGAAGAGTTTAAAGCTATTTCTTTTGAAAAAATTGGTTTAGGTAGGACCGATGTTATAACTCATTGTATTGATACTGGTAATGCGGAACCTATCCGCCAAAGATACTATCGAATGTCACCTGAAAAGCAAAAAATAATCACCGAGCAGGTCGACGAGATGTTGGCTCTCGATGTCGTAGAACCTTGTGAGAGTCCCTGGTCATCTCCAGTACTGGTGGTTGGAAAGAAAGACGGTAAACCGCGCTTTTGCTTGGATTCTAGGAAACTAAATTCTGTCACTAAAAAGGATGCTTACTGTATCCCCTATGTTTCAGAAATTCTTGATAATCTGAGAGACGCTAGGTATTTGTCTAGTATAGATTTATCAAAATCTTTCTGGCAGATTCCTATTAAAACGGAGGATAGGGAGAAGACTGCATTTTATGTCCCGGGTCGCGGAACTTTGCAATTTAAAGTTACCGCCTTTGGCTTGTCAAATGCACCAGCAACACAGCAACGTCTGGTAGACACTCTCTTTGGTCCCGAGTTTGAGCTGAAGGTATTTGCGTACCTTGATGACGTCATAATCTTGAGCCGATCCTTCGAGGAGCACGTGTCCTTATTGCAGCGCGTACTGGAGAAGTTGCACAAAGCTAATCTTACAGTTAATCTTAGTAAGTGTCAGTTCTTTCGTAGCAAGCTAAGATATCTGGGTTACGTAGTCGATTCAAAAGGTTTGCGCACTGATCCGGAGAAGGTGGAGGCTGTTCTTAATTATCCAGCGCCTACAAATCGAAAGGAAGTCAAACGTTTCCTTGGTACAGCTTCTTGGTACAGAAGATTTATACCGAATTTCAGCACGATTGCTGCACCTCTTAATAGATTAACATCAACAAAGAAGAACTCTCCACCATTTCAATGGTCGGTCGACGCTGACAAGGCTTTTATCGCTCTGAAGTCACTGCTGGTCAACGCTCCGGTTTTAGCTTGTCCCAATTTCGATCAGCCTTTTGAGGTCCACACGGACGCCAGCAATTTTGGCGTTGGAGCTATGTTGTCTCAAACTATTGAAGGTGTTGAGCATCCAGTTGCTTATATGAGTCGTTCCTTATCTGGTGCTGAAAGAAATTATAGTGTGACAGAACGTGAAACTCTAGCTGTTTTAGTAGCTCTGGAGCATTGGCGTTGTTATCTGGAAAACGGGTTACCATTCACTGTTTACACTGACCATTCAGCTATTAAATGGTTTCTTTCACTCTCAAACCCAACTGGTAGACTGGCTAGATGGGGTGTTCGCTTATCAGCTTTCAATTTCGATATAAAGCATCGACGTGGTAAGGAAAACGTTATACCCGATTCTCTTTCTAGATTACCATCGCTCGCAGCCATTTCTAAATCTAACCCCATTCCTGAAACTCAAGATTCATGGTACCTTAACATATATCATGGATGTCAAGAGTCACCGAGCAAATTTTCTAACTATCGTGTTGAAAATGGAGCCTTATATCGCTTTATGAAGGGTGGGAATTCTCTTACTTCCGAGTTTGACTGGAAGTTGGTGGTGCCTCAAGAACAACGCTTAAATATAATGAAAAACAACCACTCTGAACCCACTGCCGGTCACTTTGGAATTTTTAAAACTTATAAAAGGCTTCTTCTTCGTTTTTACTGGCCAAAAATGCACGCAGATGTGCTTAAGTTTATTTCTAAATGTGACATATGTTCAGCCTACAAGTTGCCGACCCACGGCACCTTAGGTGTGATGGGGAGGCCTAAAGAGTGTAGCCGACCCTTTCAAACTCTTTCTATAGATTTGGTGGGCCCGCTTCCTCCTTCACGAAAGCAACATTGTTATATTTTCGTCGTAACATGCTGTTTTTCAAAGTATTGCCTTATGTTTCCCTTGCGAAGGGCAACTGCGGATGTGGTGGCTAAACATTTGGAGAATGATGTTTTCTTAGTGCATGGTATTCCTCAAACAGTTATTTTGGATAACGGTGTCCAGTTTACGAGCCGTGAAATTAATGTTTTGTTTAAAAAGTATTCCGTCCCTAATGTTCATTTTACCCCGAGGTACACTCCACAAATGAATACCGTTGAAAGGTACAACAAAACCATAGTAACAGCTATTTCTACGTTTGTTGAGGAAGACCACCGTGCATGGGATGTGAATCTCTCAAAAATACAGTTCGCCATAAACAGCTCTGTCAATGAGACTACCGGTTACACCCCAGCGTTCTTAGTTCATGGAAGGGAATTAGTCGTGGATGGGTCTCATTATATTGATAATGAAACCCCAAACGAGACTATTTTCCTACCTCGTGACGTTTATGCTGAGAACTTAGGACATCTTTCAACTGTTTTTGACAAAGTTCAGTTAGCATTATGGCAGGCTCATAAAAAAAATACACAACGTTACAATTTAAGACGAAAATTTGGGGAGTTTCATGTTGGTGATGTGGTTTGGAAGCGCTGCTATTTTCAAAGCGACAAAGACGCCCGTTTTACAAAGAAACTCGCCCCAAAATATTCAAAATGCCGCATTAAGCATAAAAATTCCCCCTTGGTTTATATTTTGGAGGACATGTCGGGACGTGATCTCGGTTCATGGCATATAAAGGATCTAAAATCAGCAGCCAAATAATAATGTTTTTGGCCCAATTTTGTAGACATTTAATTCATTTAGGCTAGTCAATGTCTTTTAACTTACGTAGGGTTTTAGTATCTGTATTACGGATTTTAAGAGAGCTAAAATCCTTTTCTAAGAGGGGGATACTGTAAAGTTCGTAATTCTCCTAATAGCTATTTCAATTTATGTATATAAAAAAAGAACTTTATTTATAAAAAAAAAACCTAAATACAAACTATAGTAGTTTATATTAATAAGTTTTAACGGCATCTTTGATATTAAATAATTAATAAACAAAAAAAATAACTTACTATTATTTTACGAGCGAACATACGAACAAAGTGAAAGTTTTGTTATTTAATTACTTTACGTAGCTACTGTTTTGACAAGGACTGTGCGGGTTGAGGTAAGCGGGGAGAGTAGCGACACTGACAGCGGCCAGCTGATCCGCGCTCCTGCCACAGGCACGACCAAACATTGATAAGTTACACATGTACTTAACGCTCGCTAATACTTATAATTTTGAATTTTAACGTTCATGTTGGTTCGTCGTCTATTTAAAAAACTTGTTCTCAAAGCTGTGTTCCTTAAGAATTTACTATTCGACGAATTTAAATTGCATAGTGTTTGTGTTTATCCCGTACTGGGTAAGTTGTGCAAATATATAACTGTAAATGGTATTTTGTCTGCTTTTTTTTTGCTTCCGCATACATCATTTGAAACTGTTAGACTAGATTTCCTTAAAGATGTAGTATAATGTGAAAAGTTGTGTGTTGGGTTACTTTATAATATTATTTAAATCTAGGAGTTGCAAAAATAATGAATACACTGATATTATAATAGTCATTTTATATTTTTATTGCTGTATAGTATTAGTAAAGTAGAATAGTAATTGTGCCATCAGTTAGTTTTGTAACCGTTACTGCTTTCTATTATAACTGCCACTTCGTCCCAGTAAAATTATAATGCTTTTCTTTTCACTCCGGGTACTCGTAATTAGTAGCCTAGTAGTCACACCCGGCTTCGCCTGCTTCTTAGTCCTTGGGATAAAACTAGTGGCAGTACCAGATTTATCGGCCTTGATATTAATTAGAATATTAATTGACTTCTTCAGGAACTTCGTTGGGGTTATATTACCCACATAATGTTGCTGCCCTTGTGGACAAGGTGATCCCTATTTTACTGAACGCCGGCGCAGAACACTGGACAGAAGTATAATCGTTTTCTGGAACGGGTGGAGAAGCTACGTATCCAGGGGAGTGTCATTACGGTGCACTCGCTATCGACCTCGTACCTACCCACGACCCACTTATATTTTATTTTTTTGCTACAAGATTGTAAATTCATTTTAAAATTAAATTCTAATATCTTATTTGTCTTCTTTTTATTTATTTTAACATAAATAAAACGTGACAATAGTTTGCCCGAAAATAAACAACACCACAAAGCTAGCTGCCATGCTAAACCATGAAATGTTAGAAGTATGAAAATATTACACCACCAAGTTATATAAAAAATTACTATAAGTAGTTTTTATCCTCTTAAGTGTGAAAATCCAACAAATTTGATGATAATTTAATCTATAGGTGGCTGGTTCAAATCCGGCTCGAGGGACCAACATGAACGAGTTGTTACTCTCGTCTAGTGAATGATTATCAGGTATTATTGGTAAGATAAAGATAATACCAAGTGTCAAAAAGGATGCAATAGAAATGATACGATCAACCAATGATAAATCAAAATATCGTACTTTATTGTACTGAAAATATAATTAAAATTTATGCAAGCGTCTCAAGAACGTCGCGATGTTGTATTTATAGATCATCTTGACTTCTTAATTCAAACCCTCCGACAAAAAAGCTGGGATGCGTCCTACATGTAAGCGCTTAAACAACTTTGTATCCAGCATTAAATGGTCGTATACTCGTACTATCAGTTAGATAGGTACGTTCTAAAATCGAAAAAGATTTATTTAAATTAACTTACAACTTCATTTCTGAATGCAGATCTTATAACCTTCTCCGTGTAAGACGGAATATCCAATCTCGTCTCAATACAGTTTGGTAGGCCACCTTCTCCTTTCACTAATATCTTCACAGTGTCATAACCAAAAGAGCAGTGGAAAGTTGTCTGAAATATATTTTTTTTACACAAATTTTTTGTTTAACTTGACAAGATACTACTGTAGGCGAAATTTCACTATATTTTTCATAATATTTAAACTAACATACCTCATAGTCAATCATTTCCGTTGGCATAAATGCGAAAGGTATAGCCAATTTACCTAAAGGCGGAACTTCAGCGAAATATAATAGGCAGCGTAAAACTGAGTCCGGTGATATTGTGTTACCTTTCAGTAGACGCCATGTTGTAAAAACTTCGGTGGGATTATAAAGCCATACGATCTACAAATATATTTATTACAAAAAATAATTAGGAAGTGTAGATACCGGCACTCAAACAAAATTTAAAATACATTTAAAGGAATATTATAAACTTACTCTTATAACAGGATCTAGATTATTAATAGGTACCCTTCCACAGTCTAGTATGGATAAATAGTCTTCTATTCCAACAGGCCTTCTTAAAGGGGTTAAAATGCCCTTCGTGTTCATGTGGGCATACATATTTATGTAAATATATATACTCCTTTGATTCGGCATCGTCATGATGTAACATAGCACATTTTGACCTTCAAGTGAGTAGTCAAATTTTAAATGAATGAGATTCGGATTTTCAGGCTGAAACAACCATTTTGATAACACCCAAAATTATAAAGTATGCATAAATAACACCAGTTGGATTATTTACCGAAACTGTCCCTTCAAGTGGTGTTAATTCAACCAGAGGTCTGTGAATACACGTGTGTCTCATTTCATACGTTGAAATTCCAATTTGAACTTCAACCATTTCACAATCGCATATTTTCTCTCGGCGCAAACTCCAAGCGACTGGAGCAGCGTATATACAGCCTAATACGAATATGAACTCTACTTTACCAGCCCTCACGCATAAATCTGGAGCATAGATATTTACTGATAAAGGTTTGTTAGGGCGACAATCCACAAACGCTTTATTCAGTCTGTAATAAAATAAAATCTGCTAAGTCATTAGTAGTAGAAAAATGTTAAAACACGATTCATGTATTTCAATATTATTTTATCAAAGTTTTAAACATTGAAAATCATAGGTAACTCATACGATATCCAAAGCGTACTCACTCATTTACGTTTACAATATTCCAGACGCAATGATTGCTCAAAATTACAGGACATTTAACAGAAATTGTACGTTTGACCTGCAAAATAAAAATTTATATCGTCGTCTGCAGTTAACATTAAAATAATTATTATCACATAACATCAATTCTCGTTACTAAACTTACTGCACATTGTTCTATAATACGGTTTCATTATATTTTGTAAACAAACCTTCAGTGTAGGATATATACCGTCGTACCAGATAACACAAATAGTCTTCAGAATTGGTTGAATCTCTTCGATTTCATCATATTCCGTCCGGAATAGTACCGTGTATTTAATGTCTATCTGACGAGGACCTGCACCATCTGGTGTCACTGTCATCTTTACTTCGCAATGATTAGAAGGTTTAAGGCTATTCTGCATTCAAAACATGTTCTATGATATAGTAATCTTTCGTAAGAAACACTTAATGCTTTCAAGATATCCTCTTTCATGTCCATTAATAAGATATGTAAAAACTAACGCGCTTACCACTGTATTATCGATTTCCAATTGATCACCACTATAATCATCACCCATTCCGTTGATTAAATGATACAATTTGGATGTGAAAAAGCAAGTTCCGTTGTTGTACAGAGTTACAACAACACTCGAACTATCGCCTACCACTATATCGTGAAGATTATTTAATTTTGGTAACACCTATAATATTGAAAACAATATTAGTAATATATAATATACTATATTAGTGTAGGTATCTCTGTACAAAATATTAGCTTATAAATAATAACCCTTAGATCCGGTAATTCAGAGTATCCAGTTATGTGAATAAATACTTCAGTTGGCTCGCCAACTGGTCTGAAAAATATGAATTATAAGTTGTATTTAATCAACGTTGCATTCACAATGCTGTATTAATCTACGAGACTTTTTTCAAAGATTAATAAATATGTTTTAATAGCAATTTTTATAATAAAAGAGTACCTTCCGTCAATTAGACAAACGCATGAACAAGTGATTGTCGTTTCGTAGACCTTATCTGGTGTTTTCGGGAAGAACCAAAAACGAAAGCGTACTATTTCTTTAGGAGGTAGTACAAGAGATCCACAGCTATCGGCGCCAAGCCAAGGTACACTGTTTAGTATTCTCATACTGAAAATTAATACCAATATAAATAATAAACGTATACATAGTTTACTAAAATGTAACTCAGTCCATAAGACGGTCTTAAAAAGTTCAACGAAGTTGCATTAAAGGAGGAGGCATATGTCTAATACTGGACAAGTAATCGCGGGCGCTGGAATAGAACGTTGCATGCAACTGTTTGTTACAATGACCAAATAGTGTAACTGACTGGAATCTTTTTCCTAAAATAAAACGCAACACGTTAATGACTTTAGCATTTAAATTAAGTATTGAGTCTTTTCTACCGTATCAAAGTATACAAGATATTTAGTCATAACAGGAACAACATGGAAATTTAAAACAAACGAAGGAGCTCTAAAAATGCTTTATGTTGGAAATGAAGCAACTCACTGAATTTCCATCCTAGTGACGTTATGCAAGTATGACGTGAAGTAATTACTGCAACCGGTAATAGTTGGTGGAAATTCGTACATTGCGTCTGTCGCGGGATTGTATCCGTGAGACATCAGTTCGACTTTGCTTATCTCCGCATTACCGCAGAAACAGATACGTGTCTGAAGCATAATATTATGGTTTAGCCAAATGCTATTTAAGAGATAAAATATTTTTTTCACCACTTACTTTCTGAACTTTATTAATGATCAAGTCCCAAGTCTCGCAATAATCTCCAAACGACATGGGTTCTAAAGCGACTGATAATATTTGCCAGCCACGACTTGGAACTATTCCACACATAGGTAGTACTACGAAATTTCTGAAAATGTTTGAAAGTTAATATACACATTCTGGCCGTTTTTCCACTGAACATAACGAACACAATATTTAAAAAAAAAATTACGTGCTATATGGTGCTTCTAATTTAAAATGCAATGGTATTTCCAGTTTATTTGAAAGCATGAAATTTGTAAATGTTGTTCGTGCAGGTACTGTCGGTGGCAAGATCACCTGAAGAACAAAAAAAATTAGAAGCGATAAATACAATATTTTCGCCTATCGTATTCGGTGCTTTCGTAATTCTATTTAGTCCGTCAGTCAGATAATTGAAAAATATTAGATACGTATTTTTTTGCATCTATTTATCAAGAAATGGCTTAGATAGTATGCACTAAAGTTGAGGGGGCTTGCTACGCCACAATTATGTAGAAAATGTGGGTGCAAAGGTGACGTCATGTGACAAATTAGCTCACATTGAGTTGATCGCCGTAATTTATTGATTACACAAAAATTTAAAAAAAAAATCGTCTTTAATATTCTTCAATAATAAACAAACAAAATAGTCATCATGCCGATTGAGAAATTTCAATAATGTTAGTTAATAAGGAAGGAAGTAGCATTAATTATTTGTTTTAAGCAGGCTTTGGGTAATACTTGAAATTCTAAAAAAACGAGAAACATCTTCAAGACACGATTCAGTGATGGCCGTAGTTCCGAAACCCTAGAACCAGCACTTGACCTTTCCATTACATCATTAAAATAATATGCGGTATTAACAATGAATAATGTGAGATTCGTATAGTAATGGCTTCTTTATTTATTATAAGGTTTTTCAAAGTTATTCAGTTTTCTAGACTAGGGGCCCTCAAACTTTACAGTAACAGGTAAAGAACCTTTACGCCTACCTGACTAAACAAGGTTTTTGGTTTACCTCAACAGGACAATCCCACTCCGTGGTCCACTCTGTGCACGGTGACCAAGTGTTACCTATACAAGGTATACGGAACCAAGTATGCTTCAATTTGGCAGAATTTACATCTTCACTATCGTATTTTTTATATTGAAAATCACCACATATCAAATAGCCGTATACTTCGTTGTCTACTTTGGGTCTGCAAAGTAGTTACATTACAATATTTGACGTCTAAATCATATATATCGTATCTATCATGGTAATTACCGGAACCGGATAGTGAATAATCTTGATTCATTAGGAGGGATGACAGCATTCAATGGATCTATTATAAATACATTGTCTGGATCTATAAAAAACAAGATAACGTTCATGTTTTACGATCCAGAATCAGTTTAAAATCAATTTATTCACAACAAACCTGGTATCCATTGTATATAACCCTCATCCTGCTCATGATTCGTAACGCACATGGTTTGAGAAATATTTCTTGTAACATCCTTCACACTGCCCATACCGAAGTCCAAATACCTTTCAAATACTGATGCAGAAGGTATGTAACTTAAACGGTTCAAGCTATTTTCCATCAAATGAGTGAAACGACTTTTGCGTTTCCAATTTTTCTCGAAAATGTGGTCATTAATATTGAAAAGCGGATTGCCAGGCAAGACCACAGTAGCTAGTGCATTCAAAAATAACGGCTCCTAAAATAAAACTTAAGATTTCGTTTGCCGGCGGGCTAGTAGAATAATAAATTCTTTAATATGAATTGGGGATTATCAAGCAAACTTAAAAGGATAACATTTGTATTGATGACGATATATTTTTAGCTGATGTATTTTGGTAAGTATCCTACGTATGTAAATGAGGTAATCGGTACCTGATTCAGGACAAGACAAACCAGTTCAGCTGTATAAATACCCAGTGATATTCCAGAAAAATATACGGTCGTAGTTATAGTTTCGAATGCTCTTATAAGACCACAGTTGCCGGTAGAAATCTGTTGACGTTCAATATGCAATTACAAACTCGTCAATAGGTCTAGTTAGACAAGATATTGAAGGAGGCGTCCGTACTTGGAAGTAGCCTTGTCCACTTAACGGTAAAAGCCACTGGTAAGTTGTTTCCACAGCGGATTGGTTGACAATATTGATAACTGCTTTTCGATCTTCCGATATGTTTTTGCATACGCGAAACATGAGTTTTCTTTTACTTAAGGATACTTTTGGTCCTGAATCATCAAAAAATACAAATAGATAGTGTTAATTGGATAGCTAAATAATGCAAATTATTCTTATGGTGTGTTTAGTTTATTGTAATCTTACCAAAACATTTTCCTTGGATAGTAAGTCTGTAACTATTACCAATCGTATCTTCAATCACGTAATACTCTGTGAACGATTGGCCAGCTATATTGGGCCGAAATAAAATTGTGACCTCGGCGCATTCATTGGGCTTAACCGGGGTCGTGGTGATACTCAAATTGAATACACGATCGATGTTATTAAGTATGTGCATCACGGAAGCTCGATATGACAATACCTTCTGGAATAACCGAAGAACATAAACGCGTCAAACAAGTCGGTAGGGTATCCATTGTACTCGTGAAAAGAAAACCAAAGCTTTATTGCTTACATAAGCATCCATATAATTTGTTTTTTATTTTATAATCTATTGCGGTTAGTTATTTACCTTATGGGCTCTTTTAATAAAGGACTTTATTTATCCAAAAGCAAATAGATTTTTTTTTGTTTTATGATACTAGGCTAAAACATGATCATGATCAGCAGCTTATTAATGTTCCCACCGCTGGGGCTCAGGCCTCTCTTATGGGTGAAGTCGTATCAAATTAAAGAGGGAAAATGGACCATGCATGACCCACTACTCGAACCCAATGCGTCTCGGTGGGTATTAACGACTACATATTCAACCGGGACCGACTAACACGTTAAACAAACTCGCGATTTCACTCGTTTCCTCTTCAACTTTATGCTTTCTCTTATATAGGTACATAATAAAGATATAAGGTATCAGTTTTTACAGACTTCAAAATTCAAAAGGAGGAGGTTATATGTCCGACGGCGATGTATATTTTTTATATGTATGTTCACCGATAATTCCGCCAATTGTTATTCTACAGCTTGATGGACAAGTTGATCCCATTTAAATTTTATCGAAATCGAATAAGTAGTTTGCCTATTATAACAAAATATATTCACATAAGGATATGTATTGTACTATGTTAAATATTTTTATTTATATAGATCTATATCTATCCTAATATGGCTTTCCGCCACCGGCTTCGCCCGCGTGATCCCTAGGGAACTGTTTATTTGGGTATCGATTGCTGTTATCATAGCATAGTTTTTTATACATATATTTTTGGTATCTTGAACCGTTTTCGCAGCGCACGCAACGGAAGCCCTCAAGGATGAATAATTATCTCCGTTTTTTCCACATTTTCCATTATTTCTTCGCTCCTAATAGTTACAGCGTGATATTATATTCCTCGATAAATAGTCTATTCAACACAAAAAGAATTTTTAAATTCGAACTAGTAGTTCCTGAGATTAGCGTGTTCAAACAAACAAACTCTTCGGCTTTATAATATTAGTATGGATAGGAAAGATTTTATTGTTTGTTTATTTGCAACGAATAGGGATGATGACTGGGTAAAAAAAAATGCAACGGCTTTATAATATTAGTATGGATAGGAAAGATTTTATTGTTTGTTTATTTGCAACGAATAGGGATGATGACTGGGTAAAAAAAAATGCAATTCTATTTAGTCCGTTCCGTCAGATAATAGAAAAATATTAGATACGTATTTTTTTTTACTTCAATTTAACAAGAAATAACTTAGATAACAGGCATTAAAGCTGAGGAGTGGGGGCGCGCTACGTCACAGTTGAGTAGAAAACATACTCTAACGTGACGTCATGCGAAATTTCAACTCAATGTAACGCCGTAATTTTATGATTACGAAAAAAATAAGTGTTTAATATTTTTTAACACTCTACCTGACGGACAAACAAACAAAAATTAGTCATCATCCCTATTGGCTCCGAAACTACTGGACCGATGTTAAAAATACTATCACCAACGGAAAGCTACATCATGTGCGTTGAACATAGGCTATATTTTATCAAAACTAAAAACAGCAAATAGAGGGATGAAAATAGGAATGGAAGTTTGTTATGGAATAAAATCGTTACCATTTAATATTTTAAGGGTTACCTATAAATTAATTAATTGGTAACCCTTAAAATACCCTTAATGATACGCGCCCGATCTCAATAGCATTTTCTTGAATAAGTCGCTTTTGAGATTAGTAATATTTACCACTTTTTTAAAGTTTGAAGTCGGTTCTATTTTATTTAAAAAGCTCTTATGATAAATGCGTACACAATTTCTCTAATCTCTCTTTTCTCAAATGCCCGTAGGAATATGTAACGTAGGAAAATTAACAGTAGCAGTACCTATAATAATATGATGCGTATTAATACCAATGAATACCCACCAAACGTCATCAAATGGACTTCGATAGTCTATAAAGCAATAAAAATAAAGGGTTAACGTTCGTTGATTATTCGTTGGTACAGTTTGTATGCATCATTTGGTCCTAATCGATTGTATAGTTTTCGACTTTCGCAAGTGTTTGTAACAGCCTGTACTGGATAAATTATATTGAATTTGAATTTCATAAGGGGCACTTGCTACGGTTCTATACCTTAGTAATTAGGTAGTATTTGAACAATTTTGTTAAAAAAAATATTCAAATTGAAACATAAGTACCTCTGATGTGTTCTCTACCAATAGTTCTTTCCTTGTTACCGTGTCCACAGGAACACATCCAAAGTCGACGGTTTTAACGTGGAATATACTTTCATTAGATAGATTATGCATGTTCCTGAACGACAAACAAGTGTGATTTTATTTTTATTCAAGAAAAATTAAAACGTTTTTGAGAAATAAGCATACAATTAAAACGTATTGCTTAAATTCGCTTCGTACATCATAGTACAATTTTTAGATGTAAGCAAAGAGTAAAATATATATTAGGATGTATGGCACATAGAGTAAAGTATAGTATGATGTCTATCATATACACACGGCTGCATTTAAGTTGTTTTTGGTAAATCTATGTAGAAAGATAGAATTGGAATTCAAAATTGTTTTGTTGAATGAATGTATTTAAAACGTGTAATGGTCTCCTACGTGAAGTTGGCAGTAATGTGGTGACGCAAAGTGCCATTAAAGTTAAGAAGAAGAAGAAGAAGTCAACTTCCACAATATGTCAATTATCTGCAATGGATTTTGACCTCTAGCTCATAACGTTAAGGTTTAAAATTCAGTGGGGATATTGATAGTTTTGTATAGTCTGGCTATGGGCGTGCACCTGACTGCGCCACGGTTATATCGCTCACTGAATAGTACAGTGGCATAACTCAAAAACCATTATTTCGAGAAAACGCCACAACATTGTGGTGGCATCCCATAGATAATTAAAAGAAAAAATAAAAAACTTAACAGTAATAATATAATAAAAACTATTTAACTGTTATGCTAAAAAAAATGATTTTCATAATTATATATATATTAAATTTTCATAACATTGGAGAGCGTTTCTCGAAATAATGGTTTTTGAGTTGTGTCACTGTACTATTCAGTGAGCGATATATCTATGATCCAAGATATAATTTAGGGTATTTGACACTTAATAATCTAATAAAGTTTATTTCTCAGAATCTGCAAACAAAATATGTTTAGCTTTGGTATAGTAACGTAAAGAAAATGCAACATTTTTTTGGAATTTTAATGAACGATAAAAACGCCCTGTAATTCATTGTCATCGCAACCAATAACAGGAGGCCAATTCTACTAAATAAATTTTGTTTAAATCGAATCGAAAACGGACCGAAACCGAACGAAACTACAGTTTTTAATGGTTTTCCTACTCTACAAAGTGACATACGATACAATTCCAGTTCTATTTTAGCTGGCTGTTTTTACCAGGTTCTGTTTGCCAGCATGTGACGCCGCATGTAACATAAGAGATACGCAAAACTTGTATTTATTCGTACGATTTGTAGCTCATTTTTATATACAAATACAAAACATAAAATTTAAATTTAATTTCTCTTCTGTAATACTATTTATTTAAATATTTGATAAATAGGTATGTAGGTTATGTCGCCTTGACATATTTACCGGCATGTGATGTCACAAGTACCACGAGATCAACGCCTTACATAGAGCAGCGTTTTTTGCGCAGTTTTGGCTATTTAAACTTTAAAAAATATTTTAATAGAAAATAGAACAGATTCTCATGAAATATATTGACAGTGTGTTTATAATGATGCAAATAGCCATTTAAAATAGTTTTCAGAAAAACCTCAAATACCCTATATTTTAATTGATCAGTGATTAGT